GACAGTACTTTCTTTTAATTTTCCTCCACACTGACTTTTTCCCATTCACAGCTTTGGTGATTGTTTTTTACGTGCTGCCTTCTCCACACTGGAGTATCCAGGACATGCCCTTAGGTCTCTTCTTCCCTTTCTGTACCCATTTAAGTGTTCTAAGTTTACCCTGATCCCGTCCTGCGTTATTAAATGCTGTTGCGGTGCTGAAGACTTCCACCTCAGGTGTCTGAAGCTCTGCTGGTGCTGTGTGAGCGTTCCAGGGCATCTCACGGTGACGTTCTCACTCTGCACTCCCAACCCCCATCCCTGCATCTTCATGGCTTCCCTTTCTCAGTCACTCACAGCTCCGCCCTTCAGGTTGCTCACCCCCAAAGCCTCTGAATCAGCCTTGTTATTTCTCTGACTCACTCCACGTCTATTTCATCAGAGAATCCTTTCATTATAGCTCTATCTTTAGAATTATCCAGCTCCTACATCTTCTCTCTACCTTCTTTGCTATTAGGCTTCATTATCTGTCACTGGGATTATCACTGTGTCCAGAAGTCAGTCCTGCTGTTGATGGGGCTATTCACAAAACACAACCTGAGGGACCCTGATGACATGAGCTCAGACAGCGGCCTGGCTTGTCCAGTGGATTCCTGTTTCTCACTCACCTGCTTTCTCACTCATCCTTGCAGTGGAAGTCAGAGTGTTCACAGTGTCCCACCAGGCCCTATCTGCACACCCCCCACTCCCACCCTCATCTCCTTCCTAACTCTTCTGCCTTCACCTCCTACTGTTCCTCCTGTGTCTCTGCACCAGGCCCTCCACTCCTTGCCTTTCCTCACATGTGCGGAGTGTGACCCTCCCCACAGTCTGTGCTGGACATTCACCTCCTGGCGTGGCACCCTTCTTCATTTCTTTCAACTCTTTGCTTAAATGTCCCCTCTCAGTGGGGCCTTCCCACCTCCCTATTTAAAATCATAGCATTTGCCCTCCCCGCTCCTACTCCCTGGTGTCTTTTCCTTATCGTTTCATTTTCTGTTTCCCCTGACTAGAACGCAAGCTTTATAAGGACATGATTCTTCTAAAACAATTTGTTTGCTGCCATTTCTAGCATTTAGAAAGGTGTCTATATGACACTAAGGACTTTATAAACACTGTATGATGATTTTAGTCTTTTCAGGATCGTGTTGTATGTAACTGGAGGCGGTGGGGGGGGGTTAGTAATTTGTGTAGTAAGAAGTGGAGATAACACTTAAACCCAGGTCTGTCTTGCCTCCTGATGCAGTCACCCCTTTATCAGTTCATTCTATCTGGATACCGTGTCCGTTAACTTGACATCACATTACTTGCATTATAAGGCAGAGGGAGCCACCAATATTGTGCATTTTGTTTATGTTCTTATCCTCCATCAGTGTCTGGGAGCAGATAGAAGCAGATTATTATCGTTTAGTTCACAGGAAGCTCTTCCTGCAGCTGGATCATGGACACTCCTCACGGAGGCTTGTTTATCTGTTTCCTCAAACCCGACATGTGTGGAGTAAGAGAGCTCTGAGAACTCAACTCTTCTGCCTTCTAGTGGTAAAAAGGCCAGATTTTCTTACTGAGCTGAAACTTCTCTGGATGCCTTAAGCTTAAAGCAGCAGGGATCAGATGACAGTGCTGGTGTGGCCCAGCCAGTTGGGCATCCCAGGGTGTGGAACCCTCAGCAGCCGCCTGCAATTTGTGTTCGGTTCTACCACTGAATTGTTCTCAGTGCAGTAGAATCATGGATTTTCAAAAATTATCAAGCTACTTTTAGTCAGGTAAGGAATTGATGAGGAATAGAGGTCACGCTTGCAGAGGACAGTCTCAGATCACTCTGAGCGTGAGTCACATTTCAGTTTCCGCAGCTGGTTTAGAGCCGCGAACTGCAGGATGCGTCTGGTCAGCGTTTCCCAGCCCCTGCCCCATTTGGGGTTCATTTTCAAAGGGAATAATTGAGATGAAAGTTAATTCTATGTACCC